CGAATTCCTGGATCTGCCACTGTTGATTTATTATATAATTATTTTTTCTCTTATTTATAATGCGTCTATTGCAATTTTCACTGTATCCTCTCAAACAGTCCTAAGAACGTTCAGAGTGCGCTACTTCACAGGGGGATTCGCCCCCTTGACCCCGCCGGGGTCATACGTAATTTGCATAACGGCTCCCCCCCTTTCAAAATCCTGGCTACGTCCCTGAGCTAGCATAGACAATGCCGTCTCAACAGAAAAAGCCATCAACACCAACCCACAAATCTAATTCTAAGGTTAGAGGTGATGAAACATTGAATGATATTTGTAACGTTAAGCAGAACTGTCCTAGCCCTAAATCAGTAACAGCAACTAGGATAATGTGTATCAAGCAATGTCAAATGAACCACGTCGAGAAGGATAACCCACTCGAATGTTCTTTGTGTCAGGAACAATTTCACAGAATTTACTTGAAAATTAAATCAACTTCTAGTCCAAGAGTTTGGCTTTGTCCCCACTGCAAGGACATTCCTGGAACCATAAAAAATGTGCTCCAAACTAATGCTGATCAAGAGAGAATCATAGAAGATATGAACCAAGAAATAGCTACTTTGTCTACTCTTGTCTCTGAACAAAGAAAACTGATAGATGGACTTCAGGATACAGTCAGAGGTGTGATGGCTCAGCAGGAAAAACTTAATCAGTCCTATCCGGAACACACAAGATGAAAGAAAGAGCTACAAAGGATCAAGTAAGAGGTAAACCAAGCAACTCAACACTTATCCTCGGAGATTCTATTATACGAGACATCCATGAACGTGGACTTAAAGAAACCAAAGTGAAATGTGTGAGAGGCGGTAAAGTTGAGGACATTAAGGCAAGTTTCGCAAGTGAAGTGCAGTCTTATGATACTGTAGTGATACATGTTGGAACCAACAACTGCACCACTGATGAGTGTCTTGATAATGGTATTGTTGATTATGAGAACATAGTGAATACAATAAAATCCAAATCACCATCATCTCATATAATCCTATCAACGGTGTGCCCGAGAACGGACAAACATGACAACCAGCAAAGAGTAAATAAGCTCAACAAGAACATAAACGTATCGCTGATCTTAACAGATGCAAGCTGATAGACAATGACGAAACGTTTCTTCTTCGGAATGGAACAACTTCACAATCAAACCTTAATAGTGGAGGTTTACATCTCTCAAGAGAAGGTACCAGGCTGTTACTCAACAACATAAGCTCAGCTCATTCAATCCTAAAGAACCCACTCAGCCAAAGCAAAAGAAAACACAATGGATCACGTAAAAGGTGGCACAGTGTCGCAAGAAGTCAAACAGCAAATTTCCCAACTTCCCACTATCACAGGTCGAAATAGGAACTAGCTCACAACAACACAACTGTATATAATAATATATACCACATACTAGATGACGAATTAAACACTAACCTAAAGGTAATCAAACTTCAGCTTCGAAACCATTACATACCAAACGACGCCACAGAAGAAGTATTAAGGGTAAAGGTAAACAACAACCTGTTATTGAAGAGTTAAAAATTGCTTTTAATAATGTCAATAGAATTAGACCTAAATTGTATGAAATCTCAGTTCTTAACAATCAATAATGTTCAGATTTTAGGTGTTGCTGAGACATTTTTAAAAGATGATAATATATCTGTATGTGGTTACAGATGGGTATATAAGAATAGAAAGCACAAAGGTGGCGGTGGGATTGGT